ACCTCTTCCCCCTCCACCCAGGCTCTCAAGAGAAAAATGTCCATCTGCTCCCACAGGAATAACCGCCCAAATCTCAGTCAACCCCGAGAATGCAAACAGGACCTTTAACATGTGGAATGGGGGAGGGGAGAAGAGTGACCCTGATCATGTGGCCCCCATGTGCCATCCTTCGCAGCATGTCATCTTCGTAATAACTCCACGAGTTTGCTACCTTTGTTATGCACAGGAGGCAGCGGAGGCTCAGAGAGATGAAACCACTTGCTCAAGGACACACAGGAGAAAACAGCCAGCAGCCTGCACACACGGTCAGCTGTGTTGCCCTTTCCCTGCACCTGTGGAGCCCAGGACCCTATGGTGCCGGCCCGCTGTCCTGGCCGATGCAGTGGAGGCCCTGCTCTGTTCTCTGGGCATTTCTTGCTCCTGTGGAAATCAGCAAGTTCGAGAGAAAAGGGGACTATTCTGAAAGATGAATATGGCTCATCTATGAATGAACTGTGAGATTTTCCTTTAATTCAAAAGGTTCTCCTCTAGCTTCCCAGCTTCTGGGAATGGTGACTAGACAGGAAGCACTGCTTGGTGTGTTCAGGCAGCACATCCCACCCCATCTGCCAACCTGCCCCCCTTCTCTCTCACCTATGCCAACTGGAGTGGGCACTTCAGGAGAGACACACTGGAAGGGGAGAACTAGGGACAGAGATTAAAAATCCGCTCACCATACCCAATCCGCATCCACCAACCCCTGGAAAAAGGGACACACCCTCGCTATCTCCTCCCTCAGAACTGCCTCAGGGCTGGAGTTCTTGGGACCAGCAGCAAAACAACTTCAGCAAGTTCAAGGGGGAAGGTTGGTGCCAAGTCTTTGGCTGTGGAATTTGATTCTGAAGGATACAGGTGGGGATTGTCACACCTGCATGGATGGGTGTCTGGTCTCAGTGAACAGTGGTCTCCACGTCCACTCAGCCCTCCTCCTGCAGTCCCCAGGCTCACCTAGTCAGCACTCTGGCGTGTGGCTACTTTAAAGGGGGGAGCTCATTAAATTACCACCATGTGACCTGTCCAATACCTGGAGGCTTGACAGGGGCAGCCCGCTATCGCTCTTATCACTCATTGTTTTTTCATCCAATCAGTGGAAATATTGAAACTGAGTTTTCCTCTTAGCTCGGTCTTAGGGATAGGAAGCCTGTGTGCGGCTCACCTCCACACAGAGACGTTATTATTGCTGTGATTATAATTGTCTTACTCTTTAGTCCCCTTATCTAAGTTTCCTTATGTCTACTTTATCTTGCTGCAGTACCTGACTCTTAGTGCCCCACCCACCTCAAATTATGTTTGGAATAAGGTGAGCTCTCAGCCCATAGAGGCAGCCCCTGGTTTGAATGAAGGTGTGGGGGTTGGGGGAGAGGGCAGACAAGGGGGAGCATTGTAAAAGGGGCACCTGGGTTTGGAGAGAACGCCTGAGGGTGAGCCCTGCTGGAGGCAGGGACCTATATCCTGCAAGAGGCCACGGCCAGCAGGACTTCCCCAGCCACTCTGCTCTGTAGCTGCTTCTGGTTCTGTTTTCCAGATGAAGCTACTGGCAGAAGAGATCCCACCTCTGACCCCTGCTGCCCCGGTCTGAGCCTGTCTGTCCAGGGGTTTCCCTGAAGAATGTCACACTGTCCACAACAAGCTCCCGGAGCTCCGTTCTCCACTCCCAGGCAATAAGCAGAGCAAGAAGCCCTGACCTAGGTATTTTGCATCTCTTGTAAATCACCTACCTCTTGGACAGGAGAGTGGGGGCTGTGCACTGATTCCACTTTGCTGATCAACATCTCCTGAGTAACTTGAGAGCATCTCTCTTTGAATCTTTCCTTAACGCTTGCCGACAGTTTCTACACTGAGTCATATCTCCAAGGTAACTATAAATACCATCATTTCTGATGGCCCAGCCGGCTACTTGCAATTATCCAGATTAATGTCAAGTGGGCACAGGATGTGTATTCTGGCTGAGCCCACGTCCACTCGGAACCCTGCATGCCTTGGCCAGGCTGGTGGCCAGAGCCGGAGTCCTCTCCCACGTGGGCTGGCACCTGCTCCTGGCAACACGCTGGAGGTGGGGAGGGAGGGGAGCTGGCGACATGTAGCCATGCATCCCCTGTGGTCTGCATTTGTACTCTTCTCCAGCACCCAGGGCAGAATGCCCCGGAGGACCAGGGGACCTGGGCTTTTCATGTGAGACCCACCCTGAACTAGGAAAAAGCAAAGGAGCAAAGGCAAGAAAGACGTGAAGTTCCGGTTCAGAGAGTCCATTTCTTTCCCTGCTCCTGGAGCCTGAGCAGGAGCCCGTCTCTACGAAGGCCTCGCCCCAGGATCCCCTCCGGGGACCAGAAGGGCTCTACCCTCACTTTACCCAAGGGGCACTTTCTCTTCTCTTTTCCTGTGTCTTGTTTTTAAGACAGACAAATAAACTGCTTGGTGTACTTTTTGTTGTTGTTATTAATCCTCACCCCAGGATATTTTTTCCATTTTTTTTCTTTTCCTTTTTTTTAGATAGAGTGGAAGGGAAGGAGAAAGGGAGACAAGGAGGAGAAGGAGGAGGAGGAGGAAGAGGAGGAGGAGGAGGAGGAGGAGGAGGAAGAGGAGGAGGAGGAGGAGGAGGAGGAGGAGGAGGAGGAGGAGGAGGAGGAGGAGGAGGAGGAGGAAGAGGAGGAGGAGGAAGAGGAGGAGGAGGAGGAGGAGGAGGAGGAGGAGGAGGAGGAGGAGGAGGAGAAAGAGAGAGACAGAGACAGACACATCGACAGCTTGCCTCCCACACTGGGCCAGGATCAAACCTGCAACCCAGGTATATGCCCTTGACTAGGAATTGAACCTGCGACCCTTCGGTGAGAGGGCCAACACTCTGACCACTGAACACACTGGTCAAGGCAACTCGGGGTACTTTTAAAGTGTAGAAAAGATATACACTTCACTGAGTGATTATGACATTTGCTGACCACATACTCTCAATCTTTGGGGAGAAAAGTGAGAAAGAGGAGAGCAGGTGAGGGGATGGACACAGGAAGTCATATAAAAGGGAGGGAGGAGGGGGAAAATCATCAGGGAGGAAAATAAATGGGGTGGTGAGGAGGCTACAAAGAGAGGAGTCAGAGTATTTGCCGAATGAACGAAATGAATGCTGAAATGTCCTCACCTAAAAGTAAGATACTAAGGGTTAAGGGGAAGCGGGGATCCCTCACCAGAAGTCCCACAGCTAGTAAGGGTTGGAGGGAGCACTAGATCCCAGGTCTCCCCAGTATCCACTCTAAGGGAGCGTCAGCCTCACTTCCTCAAGGGCTGGTGTTTGAGCTCCTCAAGACCTGGGTCTGGTCTCTCCAGGAGCCTGCCCAGGAATGGATGGCCTGGTGTCTCATCTTACTTACAACACCTCACTGCTGGCTTCTGCCCAACCTAACTCCCGAATCAGAGCCCTAGCCCAGGAAGAAATGGGGCGTGGATAGGAAACCCCAGCTCTAGTGGCTGCTCTGCCTCTGACTTGCTGTGTGACCTGGAGGAAGTGCCTTCCCCTCTCTGGATCCCTGAATCCCCTCTATAAGGTGTGACCAGGGACTGGGTGATGAAGCCAGGCTGGCTTTGCTGAGTCCTCTCAGCAACCTTACCCCTCACAGCTAGAATGGCATAACGAAGGTGCTCAATAAATATTGAAGACAACTGACCCAGGAATAATGCTAGACTACCTGGGAGGGCTGGGAAAGCCAGGAGTCTGTGGTTTTAGGGAGAGAGCAAAGCAAAGTTATCCAGCTGAATGAAGGGAGGTTTCAGCTTGCACCAGATGGTTGTGTTTGAGACTCTTGGAAGCAGTAATGATTATATCAGGAAATGGGACATTTGCACTGTCTCAAAGGCAGATAGGATAAAAGCAAACCCCTTGGTATCTCCTGACAAACACTGGAGTCCCGGGCATCCCAGTGCAGTTTTATGTGCTTACCCTCACACAAAAAGGTGTGAGTTATTCACCACCACTGATTACCCCTCCTACTCTTTGCAAATTGTGGGCAATGAGACAGCAACTGCCTGGAGCTCCTAGCCCCCCAGAGACAGCCCCTAGCGCTCCCCCCTCCCCCAGCCCATAGTGCTCTCTGCTTCCCCAAACTCCCTCCCCACAGGTCACCCCATTCTTTCCTCTCCTCCTCTTCTACCAATCACCCAGACACCAGCCAAGCTTGGACACCCTCAGCACTGACCTCCACAGTCCTCCAACCGGAGGGCAAGTTCCCCACCTACAGAAATCACCCAAATCTCCCCGTCAAATTTGAAAATGTGGGTCCTTGCTCCCCTCTCTTCCCCCACAGCCCCAGCAGAAGCACATTCCCTAGCTCCCACGCTTGCCTATAGAACCCGGTGTTACCTCTCTACCACCTCCACCAAGCCAGGGCTCAGAGACTCATCCCACCTCCCCAGGTTGCCCCGCCCAGCACCCTATCAGCGCTTGGTTGGACCAATCCAATCGCCCATCTACCCCTGTCCTTATGGGAACCAGAACCCGTGGGTTCAGGCTGACTTGAACTTAGAATGGAAGTTCAACGCAAAGTGAATTAAAGTGGAGGGATCTTGAAGTTGGGCCCGGGTTCAAGAGTGACCTCCACCACTCGCCAACAATTCTTAAACGCAGTCACTTGAACCTCCGTTTCCTGGTCCGTAATGAGGAACCATTACCATGTGCAGCGCAAGGACTGTGCTAAGGATTTTATGTGCATTTTTCTCATTTCATTCCCTACTGCCGAGTGAGAGCTGGTACTTTCATCATTATTGTCATTTTACAAAAGAGGAAGTCGGGGCTCAGGGAAGTTACACCCAAAATCACTTGGCCTATGGATGATGGAGCCATGCATAAATCAAACCCAGCTCTGCAGGATTCCCACCCCACCCCCAAGTCCCCAGACCCCTGGATGTGCGGAGGCAGCAGCAGCAGGGCCCTGCCCAGCCAGCATGCTTGCTCCTCCCGGTCTCCGGCCCCGCGCTACCTTCCTTAGGTGCATTGGCGTCCCAGACGCTCCACATCTGCACAAAGAAGAATGGTGTCCAGCACACGATGAAGGCCAGCACGATGATGAAGGTCATCTTGACCGTGCGGATCTTGGCCCTGGAGATGAGCTTGACGCTGCTGACTCGAGCCAGGGCCACGCCCTCCCTACTGCCCGCCATCGCGCCCTCGGGACCCTTGGCCGCCCCCTCCGCCGCCGTCTTGATCCGAAAATTCTGCCAGATCTTGAAGCAGATGAGGCTGTAGCAGGCGGTCAGCACGATGACCGGCACGATGTAGACGGCGAGGGTGATCCACGTGACGTAGGCCTTGGGCCCCCAGGGCTGGATGAAGCCGGCCCAGCAGTCGAAGACACCGTCAGCCACCTCGCGTATGGAGAATATGTGCGCCTGCGGGGCGCTGGCCACCAGGCAGCCCAGCCACGTGAGGAGCACCGCCAGGCGGTCCGCGCGGCGGCGCAGGGTGCGCAGCGGCTGGCAGATGGCCAGGCAGCGGTCCAGCGACATGAGCAGCAGCAGGTAGGTGGAGGCGAACATGCCCACAACCTGTAAGTACTTGACCAGGCGGCACAGCAGGTCAGGGCCGTAGAAGCGGAAGGTGATGTCCCACAGCAGCTGTGGCAGCACCTGGAACACCGCCACCACCAAGTCGGCAATGCTCAGGTGCTTCATGAAGAAGAAGAGGCGCGAGTGCTTGTGGCGCGTGGTGCGCAGCGCCAGCAGGACGCAGGCATTGCCGCTCAGTGCCAGGAAGAGGATGAGGCACAGCACGGCCACCTCCACGCGCGCCAGGGCCTCGTTGCGCTGCGGCGCGTGCGTGCGGTTGCCCTCTGCCCCTGGCGGTGCCGCACTCCCATTGACCACCTCGGCGCTCCAGTTGGCCTCAAGGGTACCCTCCATGACCGTGGCCACCGCTGCGTGATCCTGGCCTTTGGTGCTTTTTAAGGCGTGACGCGATGGGGCGGGACCCGACGGGGTAGGGCGAAATGGGGGGCCTCCTGGCGTGCCTGGGGGCGGCTCTGATTTCTCTCCCGGAGACTCCGCGGGCAGATCTGCTGGGTGGGACCCTGAAACAAACCCCCAGGGCCTTGAAAAGACCACCACGGTTCTCTCCCGACGCACGTGCAGCGCAGGTGTCCCCTTCCCAGGACCGCAAATCCTCTGAGACTCGGGGCACAACTGCCAGCCCCGGGATTGCTCAGCCGCCACCCCAGAAATCCCCGTTTGCGGTACCTCCTCTGAGCCGCTGGAAATGAGCGCGAACCTACCGGACAGCCAGTTCCTTGTGGGATTCAGTCGCTTCGACAGAGGAAAGGGGAGAGTCCTAATCGACCACTGTGCCCCAGGACTGGGACGCCTACTAAACTAGCCACCTTCCCCAGGGGTCCCCAAACTAGCCACCCGCCCCCAGGACTCTCAGCACTGCCACTTCCCGCGAGACCCCCAAACCTTTAGTAAACGTTTCTCCCGTTACTTCCCCTGGAGATCCCTGGCAGCCCTTGCCTGGAAAACCGCAGCTCAGGACCCTCCTGCAACTTCCTGTTTCTAAGACACTTAACCATCCCCCCAACCCCGAATTTCCACAGCAGCTGCTTCCGTGGAACCCCAGCCCAGCGGTCCCTTCTAGGAAACCCTGCCTTAGTATCTGCCTCCAGGACGCCTAACCGCTGTTCCCAAAACCCCTCCCGTGGGGGTCCTCCCTGACCCGTCCCCTCCCGAAGGGCGCTTCCCCAGCCCAACACCCTCGGGCATTCCAACACGCATCTTGGTCCCTAGAGTCATGGGCTCTGTCACTTTACAATCTTGGGGCACCCCGCGCGCCTACAGGAACCAGGAGAGAGAGGCACTTCACCACTTTCACTTGGATCCGAAATGGCCCATCAGTCCCAGCCATCCCATCCACTGAGGGGCAGGATCCTGGTACCTGCACCGAATCCACAGACTGGCCTGAAGTTGGCTCCCGGAGTTGCACCACCGCGGAAGACTCCAAAGATGCGTGCGCTCCCAGCCCAGGTTGGGGTGGCTGTGTTGGCGCCGCCTGACACTATATTGAGTTCTTGCACTCAGGAGCCTCCGCAAAAATCCCCTCTCCCGCAGCCTGATGGTCGCACGATGGGGACAGAGGCGAGCGAGGAGCGCCACCGAGGCTGGTGCGCGCGGACAGCGTCAGCCCGCGGTGTCGTCTGCCAGGGGACGCTTTTCTGCAGCGAGTGACCGGGGCTGCACCACCACAGAAAACCGCCCGGGGGCGCAGAAAGCTGACAGAGCCGACCCCCCCCCCCCCCCCCCCCCCCCCCCCGCAGAGCCAGGTTAACCCGCTAGGCGTTGGCAGCGGTAACCAGCAGGTTTATTTCAGAGGCTTAAAACTGGAAGGAAGGAACTTGTAAATAACCCTGTTGGTTTCTTCCTTTCTTGGTTCAGAAGCTGAAGACTCTCGGGCAATGGGAAGCTTGAATAGCAGTGTTTTCCCGAGTAGATGGTGATGAAGTTGTAAAAGCATTTAACTGATATTTCCCATATACCAGGCAGGTTAATTTCAGGGCTTTTCCCCCCCGCTCCCAGGGGCTTGATGGGGTGGATTTTCCAGTGAATCCGAGTAAGTCCTTGCTTTGGAATACTTTTGCTCATATTCCCATTCTTGAGGAATTAGAAATGCTGTCTGTTCTAATCAGCACGGGGAGAGGTCTTTGTTGTTTAAGTAGTTTTAGGGAGAGATCTCAAGGGGGTGGAGGGTTATATCTTCATTTTAAAGTGATTCTGTTCATATGGGGCCCTAAATCATTTCTACCTCCTTGCCATGCTTCAAAATTAAAATCCTAAATAGTGCCAAAGGAAGGTTAAATGTTAAAGACTGCTTCTCTGGCTCCTAGCTCCTTTTCTATTCTAAAATCGTTTTTTGGAATAATTTACAGTGGCTAGAATGAAGGCAGAAGAAAAAAAGTGGAGATTCAAAAAATAACAGAGCTCTTTAAAATTTATTAAATGCGTATTTCCTCCTGACATTTCACTTCTCCTTTTCATTATGTGGACACAGCTGAATTAGCCAAGGACCCTGTTTCCTGATTCCACAATTACAGTCCGATGCCAAGACTCCGGGCTGACCCTTAGGTAGCCCTGGGCCCGCGGTTCTAGAGGACTGCGTCTTCTAGGATGGGGCCTGGGAATTCCACTTCCTGCAGCATTGCGAAGGGGTGGGAGGCAAGAGTTGTCTTTTTTAGAAAACAACTAGGAATATTTGTTTAGAAAAATATTGTTTAGAAAAATTCAACTGAGTCCATTTTAAAGATTATATTCGTTTTATTTAATGATTCATGAATCAAGCAGCATCCAATCTAGCAGACAGAAAGCAGCTCAGAGGACTCTTACAAAATGAAAGACTTTTTATAAGCAGAAGGGAGCAGGAACAAGGAGTTATACTAGGCAAAAAGTGGCTTGGTTATTGCAAGGTTACTTTCCCTGTAGGAGATGATGGGTTTATCAGGTAGATTACCTAATTAGTGCTGATCAGAGGACTCCTGGCCGGTTTAGGATTCCATCTCTGGGAGAGTAGAACTGTAATTAGGTTAAATCTCAGTTTGGCAATGTTGGACTTAGCATAAGTGACACCACTTGAGGCCTGTTGTCTTGTGTTGTTTTTTTAACAATATTAATAGTATCTGCCACACTAATTACATGTGAAAGTTTCAGACCACTCAGATGAAGATTAAGTGACCCTGGGTCTCCATTTATGCATAAGCAAAATGAGGGCTGGTCACTAAGTGCCCGTCAGCAGATGAATGGATTAGAAAACTGTGGTACATCTACACGATGGAATACTATGCTGCTGTAAAAAGGAAGGAACTCTTGCCATTTGCAACGGCATGGATGGAACTGGAGAGCATCATGCTAAGTGAAATAAGCCAGTCAATGAAGGAAAAATACCACATGACCTCACTCATTCATGGATAATAAAGACCATTATAAACTTAGGAACAATAACAGATACAGGGCAGAGCTGCCTCAAACAGATTGTCAAACTGCAGCGGGAGGGCCGTGGAGGGTTGGGGTCAGGAGGTAGGGGGGTAAGAGATCAACCGAAGGACTTGTATGCATGCATATAAGCATAACCAATGAACATAAGACACTGGGGGGTAGGGGAGGACGAGGGATTGTCAAGGGTGGGGGGGAAAAAAGACACATATGTAATACCCTTTGTAATACTTTAAGCAATAAAACTTAAAAAAAAAAATGAGGGCTGGTCAGTAGCTAATCTCTTAGATCACATCCTCTGGTTTTCTGAAGTTTTATGATCCATGCCACATCAGAGCTTAATCCTAGGGGGTAAAACACATCGGCCCCATCCCATGGCCAGATGAGGAGGGGTTTCCCCTAAACACCCTGAGGGGTAAATTCTGGAAGGAAGCCTTGGGCCTGCCCCTCACTCTGCAGGAAGAAAGCTGCCTGCAGGGAACAGTTTTCCTGGGCCACTTCTCCAGGGCTGCCCTCTTCCAGCCCACATGAGAGGCCTGCCCAGTCCCATGCAGAATTCTGGACACACTTAGCAGGACCATTCGGTCTCATACAATAGCTAAAATCTCATGTAGCCTTCATCGGGGGGGGGGGGGGGAGTGAATGGTTTGATTCCCATTCATCTTGCTTTATTTCTCAAGTGTGCAAAAGCCAGGCAGGGGTGGGGGAGGAGCTATTAACTGTGGGGTCCCTGTGAAGACTCCTCACAATGAATAAAGCATGCTCCCACCCCCAGTGCCTCCAGCTGAGGAGACGTTGCCCCCACCCCACATGAGCAGTGCTTTGCAAACAGGGAAGTATTGTACAACTCACTCTGTGTTATACTGACAGTCCTCACCCCAGGTCCATCCAATGAAAACTGTTTCTCATCCAATCAACCTCCATCTTATTAATCCTTCTGGATGGAGTTCCACATGTCTTTTCAATTCAGTTAGCCAAACACCGTGTGTGTGTGTGTGTGTGTGTGTGTGTGTGTGTGTGTGTGTGTGTGTGTGTCTCTCTCTCTCTCTCTCTCTCTCTCTCTCTCTCTGACTGTGCCAGGCAAGGACAGTAACAACTGGTGTGATGGGAATTCTAAATCTACCTCCTCAGGGACACCCTCTTTCTCTGACTACCCTGCCCTCTGAGAACTCCCCACTTTCTGAGCCTCTGCTGAGTGAGCGCAGGTTTGCACAGTGCAGATTTCACTTGTAATGTGAATGTGCTCAGTCTCCCCATCCCGTTGTAAGTGCCTAGTATCAATCCCATATATCAAAGTCCTTTATGTATTTACCTACCATCTTTCCTATCATACATACCTATCAATAAAAATATGTTGAGAAAATGGTTTCTGGACTACCCAAGAACATCCCTCAACAAACTAGTCACCAGGGGCAAACCTGTGCTTCCCAGAACAGTATTTCTGTGGAAATCAAGATGAGGGGGAATCTCTGTGAGAAAGCATGTTACTCATGCATATGTGCCATTCTTCCAGAGAGTACGCGATGGCAGAGATAAGGCATGATGCTTCTAATTCCACAAACATGCCCACTGACAGTGGATGTCACAGCGCAACTATTTAGAAATTGGCATAAAAAATGTTCTCCCTTGGTAGACACTGTTGGCCTAGGTTAAGACACATAACTAGAGAGAAAAGCATTTTTTAGTAATCACAGACCTTGGAATAAAAACAGGCTGTTCTGTTGCAGATGGAAAGGCTTATTCAGAATCAGGATCTTTGAATTTGTGACTTCTTTTGGAGGATTAGGGCCTGGAAGAGTGGAGGGTCATTTAAAGTGGCCATAAATCTCAAAACAAGCAGAATGGTTGTGATTCTCATGTCTATTTCACAGAGGAGGAAACAGGTTCAGAGAGGGAAGGGGGCTTGCCCACAGCCACACAACTGGTTAAAGGAGGCCAGCATGGCTGGCATGAAGCATGAGGCAAATGTAGAGAGGGTGGGAGAACCAGACCACCCCCTCTGGGAGCCATGGTGGGGACTTTGCTCTCTCTCTCTCTCTCTCTCTCTCTCTCTCACTCAGGGTGCCAGGAAGATTTGGGGTTTTTAAGGAGAGCTGTAATCAGTGATAAGCATTTACATTGTGGGGGTTGGGGGCATAGATTGGAAGCAGGCAAATCACTTAAGAAGCTGTTGAGAATAGAGGTAGCCTGAATAGGGTGGTGCCTGGGGCCACATGGCAAGGACTTGCCCAGTGTCACAAGTGAAACCAGACCACACTCTCATTTGTCCATGGACCCAGCCACCCCCTGTGCCATGAAAGGCCTGAGCAGCATTAAAGAGGCTCTGGAGGTGAACGCTGAAAAGAAGTTTCGGTAAAGTAGAGGGGGCTGAGGAAAGAGGGTGAGAGAGTCCCCTGGAATCATGTGAGGTCAGTCTAGATGCACACAGGACACACAACTAAAACAAAGCTCTCTCTTCTGTCAACACTCCTGCCCATTTCTATCAGCTCCTAATAGGATTGAGAAGGAACCTGTGGGAAACTTCAGTGACCTGACAGCTCTCAATACAAAGCTGTCCCAAGCCTCAGGCAGCCCCACCTCTCCTCCTCCACCAATTCCAACAACCATTCATTGTTTCATTGTTCTTCTTTATTAAAAAAAGAAAGGAAGGAGGAAAGAAAGAGGGAAAGAAAGAGAGAGAGAGAGAGAAAAGATACTTCTTCCCAGCGGGGTAACCGACAGAAGTCTGCCTGGGATGTTGACCACCTTGTACTATTTCCTGTGCTCTGTTATGCACAAACATGCATTTAATACATATTTTCTAAGCACCTGCTGGGTGCCCAGTGGAGTGATTCTGAAAGGGAGTGCTGTGGGTCCAGAGTTGAGCTCCACCACCCAGTGCTCCGGAGCCGGGTGAGAAAATGAAGGCAAGCGGAGGGACCAGAATCTCTGCCTGAGTTCAGTTACAATGCCACCAGGAATGCACTGCCCGGTGTGGCCCATGCGCAAGCCCCACGCCTGCCTGGCCCCATTTTCTTTCCTTAAAATGAGACAATCTCTATGGCCCCTCTCAGCTCGCTTCTTATCATCCTCTCAGTCTGGGCAACAAAACACACATGGTGAAGCAGTGAGTATAAAACAGACGAATGAAGCATCCTCAGTGTCAACGAGGCTCAGGCACACAGTAGGTACTCAATAAACACTAGCAGAAAGAATGAGTATGTGCTA